TAAGAACTTTCTTTCAAAGAAAGAAAGAACACACACACAAAAATTAAAGCCTAGCTTTAATGAACTAGCCCAGATTAGTTTACAAGCAAACAAGGAAACAGGTGCTAGTGTTTTTTTTAATAATTTTTTGGAAACTATTCAGAAGAAATATACAACTAAACTCTATATATTTAAAACCAAAGTACAGATAGTCCCACAGTTAAGAACACCTGGTTTAAGGACAACCCATAGTTAAGAATGGAGCCTACTGAAGCAAAATATTATAAGTTCCCGAGATTTATGGTCTTGGGGGATTTTAATCTGCCATCCCTAGGTTGGCCTCAAAGGTGGCTCGGGAGTTCATGGCTACCATGGCAGCCATGGGCCTATCCCAGGGCATCTATGGCCCGACTCTGGACAGTGGTCACACTCCAGACATGGTTTTCTTGTTGGAGCAGTGGCAGCGTGATCCGGTGGGGGATTTCATATTATCCCCTCTGTCATGGTCGGACCACTCCCTGGTGGCCGTGAGATTCTCCTATGCTAACCCCCTTCACAGGGAGGTGGGACCTATTCGAACAGTCCACCCCTGGCGACTGATGGACCTGCAAGGGTTCCAAAGAGAGCTGGGGGTTGTTCCTGAGGTTTTGCTGCACGGTCCAGTGGAGCCCCTGGCTGCAGCCTGGAATAAGGAGGTGGCTGGGGCCTTGGACAGGATCGCGCCTGTGTGGCCTCTCTTGGCCCATTGTTCCCAGCACTCCCAGTGGTTTACAGAGGAGTTAAGGGAGCTGAAAAGGGCTAAGAGATGTGTAGAGTGCCGTTGATGGAAAACTAAAGATGAGTCTGACCAAACACGGGTTAGAGCCACTATTAAGGCCTACCTAGTGGTGGTAAGGGTGGCGAAATGTCAGTATTTCTCTGTTCTTATTGCATCCTCAGTGTGTTACCTGGCAGCCCTGTTCAAGGTCACTCAGTCCCTCCTGGGTAGGGAGGGCTCAGAGAACTATTTACAGGGCCGTGCAGAGGAATTTGCTGAACACCTGACAGATAAAATTGCTCAGATCCGTCCTCAGTTGGAGGCCAAGAGTGAGGCAGGTCCAGTGTTCGAAGAGCAGGTGGCAGTCATGGCTAGGAGGCCTTTGAGCAACTTTGTGTTGTGCGGTAGTAATGCCCCTCCCTTGATCGGGAGGCCCTCCGCAAGGTCACTCATGCCCTGGTCACCTCCTGGTTGGATTACTGCAATGCGCTCTACATGGGGCTACTCTTGAAGAGTATCTGGAAGTGCGGTAGTAATGCCCCTCCCTTGATCGGGAGGCCCTCCGCAAGGTCACTCATGCCCTGGTCACCTCCTGGTTGGATTACTGCAATGCGCTCTACATGGGGCTACTCTTGAAGAGTATCTGGAAGCTACAGCTGGTGCAGAATGCGGTGGTGTAGTTCTGAATGCCCCCGGGGGGCCCATATAACACCAGTGTTACGCAAGCTGCATTGGTTGCTGGTTTGCTTCCAGGTCCAATTCAAGGTGTTGGTTATCACCTTTAAAGCCTTTCATGGCACAGGACCAGGTTATCTGAGGAGCCGTCTCACACCTGTTATATCAGCCTGCCCCACTCAGTCCAGCAGAAGGGGCATGTTGCAGACCCCCACCAGTCAAGGAATTTTGACTGGTGGGATCTAGGAAGAGGGCCTTTCTGCTGTGGCCCCCAATCTGTGGAACAACCTACCTCCTGAGGTACAGTGTGCCCCCACTTTCATGGCCTTCAGGAAAGTGTGAAATCCTGGGTATGCCAAATGGCCTGGGAGCCAGATGGGGGATTGCACCAGTGGAGGTGGCTTGTGGGGTAATTGACTTTGCCCCCCATCTTGAATGTTTTTAGTATTTATGTATAGGGTTTGTTTTTATAGCTGATTTTTAATGGATTAATAAATCTTAATTATTATATGGGGTATTTTTAATTGTTTATGGGTTTTTGATTTTAATCATGAGCTGCCCAGAGTCACCCGTTGGGGGAGATGGGCAGCATACAAATTTAGTAATAAATAAATAAAAATAAATAAATAATACTATATAAGTAATATTGTGTAATGAACTCGAACCATTGTGTATTTAACTCGAATCATTGTATATTTAATTCAAATCTTGCTACAACAGACCTTTCTTAACTATGGGTCGTCCTTAAACTAGGTGTTCTTAACCCAGGGACTTCCTGTACAGTATTATACAATAATTCTGTTCCAGCTTACATATAAATTCAACTTAAGGACAGATCTTGGGAATGGAACTTGTTCTTAAACTGGGGACTACTTGTATCTGCATATATAATAAACAATTCAGTAAAGAAATTCATATTCACATGTGTACGCCAATATTTTCATGCTGTCTTATTCTATACTGTATTTTAGATGGCTTTATTCTATATTGTATTTGTACTGCGTTTTTATTGTATTTTATATGTCTGTACCTACTGCTAAGTTAAAAATGAACTTATTTTTATGTAAAGTACCAAAGTGATCTTGCCTAATCTTGAAAATCTAAGCCAGGGGTCCCCCAACTCTTCAGGTCATCGACCCCCTCATGAACTCTCAGATTGTTCATCGGCCCCCAAACATTATATCAAAATAATTTAATAAATACTCCTTTAAGTAACAGTACTACGAATAACAACAACACTGACCTCTTGTATAGTCCCATCGACCCTTAGGGGTCCCTACTGACCACTTTGGGGAACCCTGATCTAAGCGGAGTCCGACCTGATTTTTTAGGACTCAAATGGGGCACCCACAGGAGACCTGAAAGCTGCAGGAGAGATTGGGGGGTGAAAAATCGCCCCAGACAAGGGCAAACCACTTCCATAGGGCTGCCACGAAAGCTATGCCGCTGTGTCCGTGAAGTCACCAGGAGTCGAATTCGGCTCAAAAGACTGGGCAAAGCGGCAGAGCCAATACTAAAGGCTTCTGACAGTCACCAAATTGGCTTCGGGATCTGGCAGCTCCCCAGAGATGTTCTCCTTTCTTCGGCAGATTGTGAAGAGAAGGAAAGGGTATTTAAAAACTCAGAGCAGAACACAAGATCTCGCCGCCCTGCTTTTATTTCCTCAGCCTGGGGGTCCCCGGCTTTCCCTGCTCCGTCCTGCCCGCCTCCATCCTCCCGGCTGCTTGTCTGGAAGCGCTCCCCGGCCCAGCCAGCACCCCCGCGCAGGGCCCCAAACCGGGAGGCCGATCCAGAGGGACACCCGGCTCCCCAAGGCAGCCCGAGCCTCCGCGCGCCCCACACCCCGCCGCCAAAGGGGCGCCGCGCCGGCACTCACGCGAGTCCAGCCCCACTTGGTAGCAGGCCAGCGGCTCCAGCGAAAGCTTGTAGCCCTCGAACCTGGGGTCCAGCAGCAGCCGCTTGACGCGCAACGAACAGTTGGCCGCCGCCTCCATGCCGCAGGCCGCCGCCGGCGAGGACAGTCTTCTGGCGCGGCCTCCAGGCCTTTGGCGTCTTGGTCACGGGAAAGCCCGCAGCGCTGGGGCCTTAGCGGCGGTGCCCCCCGCCGAGGATTTTGGGGAAGGAAAGGGGGCGGCGGCGGGCTGGGGGCGTCGGGTTGTGGGGCCTCGCCGCCGGGGCGGCACCCCCCCGGCG